GGGTCCGTGGGTTCATCAAACGAGTAATGAGTAAAGGTCTGTTGGATTAGATGGAGCTATCTTTGAGGAGGAAAATACAAGCTAAATATAAATGGTTCTTCTAGAAATAACATATGTTATGGGGGAGGAATATTAAGGGATGACGAGTAACCTATTGATGGCCTTCTCTATATTCTATGGCTACGGGACCAACTTTAAAGGAGAAGCATTAGCATTATTAGATGGCCTAACAATTTGTAGGGATTTGGATCTTCTAGTGGATACAATAGAGGTAGATTTAGCTCTAGTGATAGGTTATCTGTCTTCTATTAGCTTTTATCCTTGGCGGTTATCTCATATAATTTGAAAGTGTAGGGACTTGTCTTATCGGACACTATCATCCTTCATACATATAGAGAAGGAAATATGGTTATTGATCGGCTAGCCGACTAGGCCTATCAGCATTCTTTTTACAAGATAGTTATTAATTTAGCTACATTATATGTTTCTTGCAGAGTTGTAATATCCGATGATAAGTTAGATTTCCATAACTTTCAACCTTAGCATTTCAACACTTATGGTGCTAGGTTAGTGTAGATGAAGAGATTTTTAGCTTTCATTTATTATAGCTCCTAGTAAGAGATTATTTTATATAGATTATGTGATTATATTTTGTAGGAACTTTCCTGTAAGGTTTCGAGAGTGTAGGTTTCCTTGTCCTCCCAATATGTTGGGCTAGGTCGGTTTATCCCTCCTTGTATTTTTTCATGTTGATTTTTTAATATATTTATCAAGGTACCACCTCTATTTCTAAATAAAAAAAAAAAAAGGAGATTCACTAGGAAACTTACTGCCAAAGGGTCTAACTAAGACCCTAACAACCCATCTCTATCCTAGTCCAAAAAAATACCCTTCATCCGGTCGTCCTTCCTTGAGTTTATGGTTGCTAAATTGGCTACCCAAAACAACCTCCCCGATAAGCAACCAAGTTTGGGTAATTAGAAGGGATAGAGAATAAAGCTCTCTCTTAGTTTGAAATAAAAGGTGAGGATCTCTTGATGTTAAATAAAAGGTCATGATGAAAATGAGAGGGGAATATAAGGATTAATGAGAGATAAAGAAGAAGAGGGATATACATTGGAAAGAAAAAGAATTGTTTTGAGAGAAAATAGTTTTGAGAGGGAAAAAAAAAAAAGAGGAAAGAACTTGAGAGAAATAGAAGGCATGACAAAAAGAGATAGTTTGAGGTATATGAAAGATTTTAAAGAGAAAAAAGAGAGGAAATTTTTGAGAAAAACTCTAGAATTCTCTCCGAAATAGAGTTTACTCGGTTTTGATTACTATTGCCACTTGTTATCTTTGTTGCCTTTGCAAAGCTTCAAGAGGTACTTTTTCTAACCCTTTCTTCTTTCTTTTTATATTTAATATATCCATGTTTAAGTTTTGAAACTTGCATGAAATTTTTTTTTTTTTTTGAGTCCCCAAATTGAACTTGAAGTATGAAGGCAAACCAATTGTTAGTCATAGGCTGTGTGAGGGGTAGTTTTTGTAGCCATGTACTCTTCTATTCCTAGATTTTTAGATCATGAAATCTTATTAAATGTCTAGAGGAATATCTTGGCTAGATTTTTTATAATTATTTAGGTCAATTATGAAGAGAAAACTCAAAGGGAATAACCATGAAGTAAGGGTCTATTAAGAAATAAAACTTGAGAAAAAAACTAAGTACTTTTCTAGTTTGAATAGGGATGTTCTAGGAATATTTTCTTATGTTTTTGGTAGTCTTTAGGAGTGTTTATTGTTTGAAGGTGTTGAGGGATATCCCTTATACACTCTAGACCCATTTTAAGGGTTAGATGAGATCTAGAGAGTCTAAGAGAGAGACCCAAAATGGTGAATTTAATCAAGCTTGGTGACAAGGCTGATTGAGCGAGGATGTTTGAGCCATAATATTTAGAGCTTGAGGGTGTAGAAGACTCAAACTCTTTTTAATTGTGTAGAAAGCATCAAATCTAGGATCTAATAGAGGTTTCAAGCCAAGATGAGAAAAAGAAGGTCATAAAATAAAGCCACAAAGTAGGGTTATCGACCACTTTTTTTTTGTGATCTTTGAGTGACTAAGTTGGGGTCTTTCAACCCCTCATTCTCTTAGATCATGTCTATTCTTGAGGAAATATAATCATAATGATGTAAAGTAACATCAACTCTAGGTTTAGTTGTGTTCTTAAGCTTAGATAATAAAGGGACAACCATTTAAAATGACTATGAAATGTCTTGTCAACCATGGTTTCTATGAAAATGTTAGAGGCTAATCAAGTTAGGTTTTTAAACCTTTTTTCTAAAGATCCACACCTGATTTAGGAATTATTCTTGCTTGTTGATGGAGAGTAACCTCAATACTAGAGTCTAGCTTGGTTTTGGAATGGTAATGAGTAAAGAGAAATATCTATCTAAGAAGGTTAGCCTAAAAGCTAGTTATTTTCGTGAGATGGAATGAGTTGTAGTTTTGTAACTATAAGAATAAATGTCATAGGTCACATGTAAACTCGTGATTGGTGACTCCTAGGGTGCTTAAAGTGATAATGATCATTTTTAAAGGTAATCAAGACTATTTTGGTCTTTTTATACATAAGGGTAAAATCGAAATGTTATGAATCTTGGTAAGAATGTTTTAGGTTTTTTCCCTTTCCCGTTGATATATGCAAGCTTGTCGATTCATGTATGTAACTTAATTATGTATTGATGATTGAAAGTGTGATTGATACACCGTCACGTATCTAACTTGTAGGATCCGAGTCCTTTGAAATTATTGAGGAGATATAATGATGGATTCAACGCCCCATGATGGGACTAAGAGGATAGGTTTTAGGATTATAAGTGTCGTTTCTAGTGTACCTCTTATTTACTTGAATATTTGAATTGTTTTCTTTGAAATTGTTGTAGATGTGTCATTCATGACCTAATTTTTCCTAATCTACCTCAAATTTAAAATCGCAACCTCGAAGCTATAGTTATTTTAAAACTTGATTTTTCATATGCGTGTCAACTTTGAAACCACGACGCGAAGTCCATTGTTAAAAATTTAATTTCTCTAGTTTGTGTCGGTCTTAAAGACCATTGTTCAAAACCTAATTTTTCAAGTCTATGTCGATCTTGAAGACCTTGTTCGAAATTCTCAAAACCCATGATATGAAATTGCAAACATTTAAAGATTTTTCGAGTCTATTGGTCTTAAAGACCTTGTTTCTAAACTCTCGAAACTCACAATGAGATTACGAACATTTAAAACTTGATTTTTTTAGTATGTGTCAATCTTGAAGACCATTGTTAGAACTCGATTTCTCGAGTCTACATCGATCTTAAGGACCATTGTTCAAAACCCGATTTTTTTGTGTGTTGTGCTAGTCTTGATAACCTTTGTTCCAAAATCTTTTAAACTCGTAATATGAAATTGCAAACATTTAAAACTTAATTTTCGAGTCTTTTAAAAACCCGAATCGGAGTCTTTTGAAATCTACGACTTAAAGTCGTGAATATTTTGAACCCTCGATTTTTCTAAATCGTATCAATTTTCAAAACCGTTTATCTTTTGAATTTGTCCAAGTCATCCCGACTAACCCAAACTCTCATAAATTTAAAAAACTAGAAACTTTGTCTATAGGATTTAAAACTCGTTTTCTTTTTCAAGTATTTTCAAAATATCACGACTTTCGAGTTCGCATACATTCCAAATCTCGATTTCACCCTAAGTCTCTAATGTTTTTAGTAGTATTTCCTAAGTTTAGTCTCGTATTTCCCTACGAGTGAGGATAAGACTTCTGATCGACTCGATCCCGAATCGATCGAATGATCAATAAACAAGCCGATGACAAACATATCAATAGATAGGCATTCATCGAGTTAGAAATAAAAAATTAGGTCTAGATACGCATGCAATGTAGCTTGCCTTTGACAGGACGAGGATAGGATGATGACTTATGTCTTCTTTATATACAATCAACTTTTTATTCTAGAATCTTAAACAAACCAATCAATAAGCTCCTATGTCCATTAATCCTAAGTAACTACTTTCTTTCTTGACCTCATTTCCATGAAACAATCTCTTCTTTGTGAAAAAATCATCGTTCACACTAACATCGCATCTCGGGACATTGACCATATATCATAAAACATGTTTTACAAAACAAAAATTTTCACCACTTATGATTTCAATTTATAATTTATATTTAAAGCAAAACCAGATACATGTAAACTCAGCAGAACAAACTATGTTGAATTTGATAGGCAAAGGGACAATATTAATGCATAGAGATCTTTTCTGCCTAATATCTTGAGAATGGGGTGACATCTCTAATATTCTTGATTCCAATGGCAAAAAAATATCCTCTCAAAGCCCAAAATTTGTTACAAGAGATTTAATTTTAATGACACTATTATAGAAGAGTTAGCATATGCTGAGGCTTTAAGTACCCCCAAAATTGCATTGAGAGATAAATAACCTCAGAAAATCTCAAGCAACATCACTGACCTTATTATAGAATAAAAGACATTTTACAAAACAAACCATGCTAAAATCTACAGAAAAAATGACGACATTAAAATGCAACTATAAACTAAAATATCTCAGATTCAATCTGGGAATCTGGAGATTGAGATGACATCTATAACATTGTCGATTCTAATAGCAAAAAAAATATCATCCTCTCGAAACCCAAAACATGTTACAAGAGTTAATTTTAGTGAGATACTGTTACAGGAGGGTTAGCGATTGTTGAGGCTCTAAGAACCCAAAAACTGCATTTAGAGACAAATCACCTGCTGAAAATCTTAAGCAACATCGTTGACCATATAGCATAAAATACGTTTTACAAAACAAAAAACTTAACACCTATGATTTCAATTTGCAATTGAAGTTGGAATCTAAAACAAAACAAGTAAGTTGGGAACTCCAGCAGAACAAACTATGCTGACTTCTATAGGCCAAATGACAACATTAATGTGTGTAACTATCAACTAAAGCATCATAGATCTGCTCTGCCAGGGTATCTGAGGAATGGGATGACATCTCTAATATTGTCAATTCCAGTGGCAAAAAGTTTCATCCTCTCAAAGCCCAAGCCAAATCCACAATGTTTTACAGTCCCATAACGCCGCAGGTCGAGATACCACTCGTATGGCTCAAGAGGCAGACCCATCTCAACAATTCTGCAATAAAGAGTGCCCCAACAAAAATGTAATCATAACAATTACAGCCAAAAGAAAAACAACAGTAAATGTAACTTCGCATAAAATAACGTTGGACCATTCAAGCAGACTCCTCGTACCTCTGCTGAATAACATCATAGCGCTCCTCCCTTTGGCTTCCACCAATCAATTCTCCCACCTGCAATAAATGACAAAGCCAATTTGAACCAGTGCAAAAAGGTAGGTAGGCAAATAATTACCATGTAAAATGTAAGAATTGACACATGGTATGCAAACTTTAAAATGTGCATACAGAACAATTTACCTTCAATACAAGGATATCCATAGCAGCCACTGTCTCTGAATCATCATTGAGCCTCATGTAGAATGCTTTTATTCCTTTCGGATAGTTGTACACAATTACAGGCTTCTTAAATATCTCCTCTGTCAAGTATCTGTATGAACATACAAACCCAGCCATCAGTACATGCAAATCAGAAGGACGGAACACGCTACAGAGGCACATTATGCATACCATTCATGCTCAGATGCCAGATCAATCCCCCATTCCACATTCTTCTCAAACTCCTTACCACCTCTCACTGACTCCTCGAGCAGTCGTACAGCTTCTGTGTAAGAAATACGCTCGAAAGGGGTTGAAGAAACCATCCTTAGACGATCAATACAACCTTTGTCATAAAGCTTAGCCATAAGTTCCATGTCATCGAAGCACTTGTCAAGTAACCATTGGCACATATATTTCACATATGCCTCTGCACAGTTCATGTCATCCTGAAAAAATATGCAAAATTTGCTCAAAACTGAAATATATTTTGCATACCATAACATGTACAGAGAGGGAATGGAGCATCCTACACCATGTCAAGTATAAGATTGTCCAACACCGTAGTTGATGTAAAATCCAGAGAGATATTAGAAGAATATTTTTTGCTTCATACATGAGATGTTGGTCCTTATTCAACAATGGTTTTTATAAACACAACATATAATATAATAATGCTCAGCACAACGTGAGACAAAACTGGACTTTCCAATTATCTTGCACAAAAAACAAGATGTCAAAAAAAAATAACAATAATAATAATAATAAATAAATTTTCTTTTGCTTAAATACCTGGTGGCAAATTATAAAAAGATGAGAGAACATCCACCGTTTTGCCCCTCCCTACCCCACATTTTACCATTCCCTTTAACCCAAGATTATGAAGGAGACTGCTGATCAGATCCACAAGATATAAAATAAGCCATGTAGATATGTAAATTAGTTGATAAACAACATATCATTGACAATTCAGTTAAAGACAAAAACCTGCAATGACTGGCCAAGACTCTAGAGATATGGGGATCCTTAGAATGCCAAAAAAGCCAGATAAATCAATTAGAATAGCACGTTGTAATATACCTGAAGATCTGCAAATGCTATTTCAGGCTCCACCATCCAGAACTCAGCCAAATGCCTTGAAGTGTGAGAATGCTCAGCTCTAAAAGTTGGTCCAAATGTATAGACACTAGAGACAGCACATGCATAGGTTTCAACTTGAAGCTGGCCGGACACTGTCAAAAATGCTTGACGGGAAAAGAAATCTTGACCATAATCCATCTTGCCATCTTTTATAGGAATACCAGGTTTAAGCTTAGCTCTTTCCTCCAGGCTTGAGAGGTTCTCTTTGGCTATTTTTAATTGAGCCACTGAAGCACTAATATCCTCCCTAGTTGCCTTGGCAGTTTTGAGTTTAGCAACAATCTCACCTTTCTCCTTAACAGTAAGCTTGGCAGCTTCTACATCAGCCTCGGTAGGAGGAGGATTCTGAATGAGCTCCTTATCGCGCTTGTCAGCTTCACTGATCAAGGTTGTAACTTGAAACATTTCACCAGCACCTTCACAATCACTTGTAGTGATAATTGGGGTGTGAATGTACAGGAAACCATGCTCTTGAAAGAAAGAGTGTGTTGCAAAAGCAAGTGCATTACGAATTCGAGCAACTGCAGAAATCTACAGAAAAGAACATTCAACTACAACATATACCATATATAACAAACAACAATACTAGTAAAGTTCTACAAAAACATGCTTTCAGTATACATTTGCAAACACAAACACAAACAAGAAGCAAGCAGTTTCTGATACCGTGTTAGTTCGGGGCCGAAGGTGAATATGATCCCTCAAAAACTCAAGGGAGAGCTTCGTTTTGGGAATCGGATACCTGGCAGGATCGGTGGGGGCTACATGGAGAACCCTTTCAACACGGAGCTCAATCTTCTGCTTTGTACCCTCGGGAGGGACCTTAAGCAAGCCCTCGACAGACACGCAAGTCCCAGTCTGCACAAGCGTGCTCAGATCTGCTACACCAGCATCCACGATAACCTGAAGGTTGGCTGGACATGACCCGTCGTTCAACTCCAAGAAAGCGAAGGAATCCTTCCCTTGCTCTCTCCCAGTCTTCACCCACCCACCCACCAGCGCGGACTCGCTGGCCAGCCAGTCCAGCTCCGCCATCGGGACTACACACGATGGATCGGACCGGGACACGGTCAGAGAATGGGTGCTTAAGAGATGCGCCGTCGTTTATTGCCATCGCTGCGAGTTCTTGTGCTGGCGGCGTGGCCTGGTCTCCCATTGGTTGGTTTTGCCTTTGGGTTTGGGTTTGGGTTTGGGTTTGAGAGAAAAGCTGTAATGTGGAGGCCGAAGGCTTTGTGATTTTCTGATATCTGATAAAACCTAATGAGTTTTAATCAGCTTTCATTTCCATATACTCGCTAGTTTTACTTTTATGACTGGCAGGAAGGACCATGGTTAATTTCTTTCTGACTTCCGTGATGAAGCATACGTGTCAAAATCTTGATGATGCTCTGATTTATTATTCTGGTCAACAGAACATCTGATTGTTTCCGTGGATCCGTTATTTAGGAGGGAATAAATTCTCAATACGAAACTATCGATCAGATTCTTAACGCGTGGCATCTTTCATTTTCCCTTGAAACACAAAAGAATATGATTGGAACAATATTTAAAAATATACTGATAAATTTATCAATTAAATTTTTATTTTTATTAAAAAAATTTTAGAGAAAACGTTGAAACCAAACCACAAAGATTGGAACGAAAGACTTAATGATGCTCTCAAGACATATCGGACGACCTTTAATGCACCAATTGACATGTCTCCCCGCCACTTGGTTTATGGCATGACCTATCATCTTCTAGTAGAGATTGAACACAAGGCCTTTTTGACCATCAAACAATGCAACATGAGAATGAATGAAGTAAGTGAGCAACGGAAACCGTAACAACAAGAGTTGGAGGAACCGAGGCTTGATTCTTACGAGAATGTGAATATCTACAGAGAGAAAAAAAGATATTTTGTTACAGGATGATTGCTATGAAACTTTTGTTATAGGATAGAAAGTTCTTCTCTTTCATTCCAAACTTCCATGTAAGTTATGTTCTCGACGGATTGAGCCGCTTATTGTCACTAGTGTGTTTCCTCATGGTGTAGTTGAAATTCAAAGCTTGGAGACCAATAAGGTATTCAAAGTGAATGGTCATCGATTGCAACCCTTTTATGAAGGATTCCAAGTGCAACAAGAGGAAATGATGATATTGGAGGATCACCGTTAAAAAGACTAAAAGACATTAACATCGGGTTAATAACATTAAACAAATGCGCTTATTGGGAGGCAACCTAATAAATTTACTTTAAATTTTGTTATGATAATGTTTAAGTTAGTTTTGTTTCTCTTTACATTACTTACATGCTTCATTTGACATTGAGAATGAAAGCAAGCATAGGTATTTTGGGCTTTGAACAAAGGAGAAGAAAGGGAGACCATACGGACAAGTGGCTTTAGGCACGATTTGTGCATCGCTTATAGTGTGAGAATCTTACATTCTACAATTCATTTTGAAGGAGAAGAAGCATGAGCGGGGCTTCAAGACATGGGTTGTGCACAATTCTAGCATCTCCGTGGGCCCTTTTATGTGTTAACATTTTAAGATAGCATAAGAGACACCGGTGAAGCATGACACACAGCTTGTGCACCAAATTCATACATGCTTCGTGTGTCCCATGCTTGCCACTTTACCTTTTCAGAAAGAAAGAGACACCGACAAGTGTCTCTAGCTCTTTTGCCTTTACCATCTCCTTTTTTACTACTACAATTTCGGATTTTATCTCCGACCCTTTCTCTTTCAATTTTATATGTTTGATCAATTCGTTGAACATTGACGACAATATTTGATTTAAGTGTAGGGGTAACATTTAGGTTTTTCTTTTTATTGTTTATATATTTTGCATGTTTGTGTGTTTTGTATGTTTGTTTTTTAAGTTATTTCCCCTATAAAAAAGAAAAGAAAAGAAAAATGATGAATGTTATAGTTTAGTATGATGTCCTTCCGGATTGATGACCGATGATGGACTTTAATATAATTGGATGAGATGATTGGAAGTGTTTTGAATATTATTGTTGTAGAAGTGCATGTATGTTAGAAAGCTTTATGTGTTTTCATGATTGACCATGATTTAGGTAATAACACCGATTGTGCAAGTACCCTTTCGAAACTAGACTTAAGCATAGTTTAAATAAACAAGATTTTCTAACTATTATAGAAATTTGAGAAAAAAATGAAAAGTAAGCATTCCAATTAGAAATTTTGGCCTAATTGAGTAAAAACCTTCACCACCGAATTAGATTGCTTAGTAACTAGGAGTATTCATCATAAATTTTTACTTTTATGTCAAACGATAATTTAAATTATGAGTATGCAAAGCACTTTAAGTTGATGACTTGTTAAGTAACTAATTACCGTCATCATAGATATCGATAATTGCGTAAAAAGGCAAGTGATCACTTAGGGAATAGCTATTAAAGGCCTTGAAAAAGACTAGGATACTAAAAAGAGAAAAAAAATTGCTAAAAAAGAATCTTAGTTTATCACTTTGCTTGTAGTGGTGGAAAAGGGGAAATGGCAAAATAAGTGTTGCATACTTGAATTGTGATTGGTTATAAAGATGCATAAATCAATTTAGAAATATGCATAAATATGAGAATAATGTCTTGAACATGATCAATTTGACTATTTGATTTTGTTAAATTTCAAATTGAGCATCAATATTTGAAGGATAATCATACTAGCATGACATTTATCTGAGCGATTTTATGAGTTTATCGTTTGAATACTCTTACAAGACATAACTCGTCCACTAGGGGTAACCTAGGGGTTTAAAGGCTTGTTACATATGCTTAATGCAATCTTGATTCCTACAAAAATGAGTTTGGTTTTTGTTTTGTTTGTTTTGCTCGAGGACTAGCAAATATTAAGTGTGAAGGTATTTTATGAGTGCATAATTAAAATGATTTTTATATTTTTTTACATTGATCTTTTGGTGTTTATTGTATTATCCAAATGAATTACCAATGAGCAACCTTTTAATGGATCCATCGAAACGAGTTTCAAAGTACACAAATCCTCTAATGAGATAATCATGATGACTTCAAGTCTAAGAACTAGGTATACCCATCTCGGGATATTTAATAATATCATTTATGTGCATTAGTATTTGTCTCACATTTTTCGATCAACTACAAATGCAAATGCATATCATAAGAAATTCTATCTAATTCTACTAAATAAATAAATATAAAAACATAAGAATTAATAGAAAGATTTTTTTATTATTATTAATAAAATAAGTGGTGCAATAATATTATAACTCAAACCTATCCAAACATAGTTGAATCTTAGGCACCTACACTAATAGCAAGAACAACCAAGAGTCTCTTTTAGGACTAGTTGTCGCCTCTCCTTGTCCTTGGAGGATAAGGACAACTTTTCCTCTATAAATCGAGGGGAGGTATGCAAAGAAAGGAGAGATTTTTTAAAGAGAGACACATGGTAAAGAGAGAAAGAAATTAGAGTTACACGACATAGACAAAAATAAGGAGAAAATAGTTTTCTCCTTTTCCTAAAAATCGCACCACCTCTCTCCCTTCTCTTAGAGTTGTCATAAAATTACCCTAATTAGATTTTAAAAGAAAAACCACTAAACAAATCAGAAAAAGGTGGAGCTAACACTCTTCTAATTTTGAGAGCTTCTGTGTAGGTGATTGGACTACGTGGATTATCAATAGAGGTCGAACACTTGGACAACTCCTTTTTTGCAAAGGTTTAATTCTATGCTATAAGATTTAATCCTTTATTTATATACTTAATTCATGAATATATGGTTAGTTGATTTAATGGTATAATCTTGGGCCCTTTAGATGGAGAAAATTTTTTGTTTTATTCCGCACCTCTATAGAATGCATGATCCTTCATTAAGTTTAAATAATTAGATATTATGTAAATTTTAAATTGATAGTTTAATTTTAAATTAACACTTTAATTTTAAATTTAATATGTTATTTTAAATCTAATAACTTAATTATCAAATTACTATACTTATATTTTTAATCATTGTATAATAAATTACATACTCAAAATTTTATCTTAGTTTATCAATATTCAAAGCTAATCAATTCAAAAAAATTTCTAATAAATTAAAAATATACTCAAATAAATTTCAAATAACATAAATTGATATTTTTTTATACCATATTTACTAATAATTAATTACATATATATAAATGAGTAAAATTTTAAACACCCAAAAAATAGTAAAATCAAGAATAATACATGAAATCCACACAAATTAAATGTAAATTATGAATTAGGATAAAGAAATGCACCTAATTGGGTTTTTCTTTTAGTAGAAAAAGAGGGAGCACACCTAAGAAAGAGGAGAAACAAAGGCTATGTTTGGGGGGAAAAAAACAAAGGTGGTTAGAGTGGTCGGAGATTGATGGGAATTGGAGGAGTGGTACTTGTGAGGTGCTTTTGGGGGTGTTATAGGCGAGTGACGAGGGTGGGAAGTGGCAACGAGTGAGAGAGGAGAGGGAGAAGAATGAAGAAAATAAGGGAAGAAAAGGGATTCTACAATTTAGGGATTTATTTTAGCAATGGAGGCGACTTCGTCGCTAACTTCGTCTCTCTAATTTTGAATTTCAAACAATCTTCCTTTTTTTATCCTAAAAATAATGGTTGACCTAATATGTGATTATTTTTTTTATCACAATAGAAACTAACCAAGACCAAATCCATCACTAATTATCGACAACTTTAAGAATTAATGAGGGAATTTTCCCTTGCTAACCATAACAAAAAAAAAAAAAAGGGATGGATTAGAGTATCCATCATTGAACTTCCTTGTAAATCCATAGTTGAAACAAATATGAATATTTTGCCAACATATTTAACGACGAACAATGTCCGTTGTTGTTCGTCCGTTGCAAATTGGTCATATTTGTTCCTAAACCCCATATTCAACAATCAATCGTTAATCTATTGCTATTTAGCTATTGATTTTAAATCGTCACTATATTGTTATTTTTTTATAATGTCAATGTCAACAACAATTTCATTATTTCAATCGGTGCTTTTTGTGTTGTTGTTGTAAGCATTGATACAAGTCGAAGTTCGAGAAGGGAATTTTTGAGGGATTACCACATGTAGTGGCATGAGTACGTGAGACTCGCTAGAGTTTTATGGATGGTGACTCCGGACGTTATTAGTGTTTACATTGTGTGTAACGAGTGAGGACGTCAATACCAATAGTTAGAGAAAGATTCCGTTGAGGTGGACAAAAAATGTTACACCATAGTTAGCTACTTGGCACCATCCTTGGGTTAGCACCTACAAGGCATGTTATAGGAAAACATAATGTATTAGGGTAGCAATGGAAGAGTTCCTAGGAGTTTAGGTAGCAAAAGTCAATAAGTGTGAGCAAATTTCAAGAGTTTTGATTGGACGTCCATATGATCGAGGTGGACAAAAAATGTTACATTGGCTACTTGGCACCATCCTTGGGTTAGCACCTACAAGGCATGTTATAGGAAAACATAATGTATTAGGGTAGCAATGGAAGAGTTCCTAGGAGTTTAGGTAGCAAAAGTCAATAAGTGTGAGCAAATTTCAAGAGTTTTGATTGGACGTCCATATGATCGAGGAAAATTTATGTAAACTCGAGGATGAATTTTCTCCAACCAAGGAAGTATGACAAATGAGTGTCGTCAAGGAAAGGCCGAAGTTCCATGTTCCACTTTGGTCAAAGGTTTAAGCTTGAAGGAGCATGCATTGGGCCAAATATTTCTATTCAATTGGGATCGAAATATTTAGGGTTAGCTATGTTTTATTTATTCTTATTTAAGTTGTTTTAATTTATTCTTGTATTAGAATTCATATTTTTATTCGATTTATTTTAGTTCTTATGTGGTTTGGACCCATATTTAATTAGGGGTCCATCTTTATTGTAGATTCAAAAATTAAATAAAATTTTATAATTATTTTGAAAGTTCATATTTAATTGGGAATAAGTTAATTAGTCCTTATTAAGTTTGGATGAGGCTTTTAAGTTATTAAATCCAATTTAGTTTATAAAGTTTATTTAGAGTATTTTTCTAATTTGAACTTTTAAGAGCTAGCATTTACACAAACTTTTGATGCTATTTCTATAAGTTATTGCTTGAATGTATTGAATAAAAATTGAGAAGATTTTTCTCTATTTTTGTTTTCTTGGATTAGGACGTGACAATTTTATTTTTAGAGTGATTAACTAAAATAGGTTCCCGACCATTGCATTCAAGCTTTTTTTACGATGGTGTTATCTATATTCACTGGTTACTTGACGCTCGTATCTCATATGTTATGCTAATTGTCCTTGGGGCAGTGGCATAGAGATTATCGGACTTGTATTATTTTATTTTAATTATGTGTTTGGTTAAGATTGAAATTTGAGATTACATAATGCATGATAGTTTCAGCCTCATTAACTTCTATAGGTAGGGTTGTCTATTTTAATTGAAATTTTATCATTCATATCGCTTAGGCCTTATTATGTCATATTTAAGCATTAAAAAAAAAAAACTAAAAAGAAAAGATAAGTTTGGGATTTCAAAGTTTTTTCGAAAATCAGGATTTGTCATTGTGTCATATGTTTGTCGATTGTTTGTAAGGTTATTTGTGGCTAAAATTATGCTTGAGCTATTCAGCCTTTAGGTGCTTGTTTGTTGTTTATTTATTTGAACTTCTGCAGATTTTGTATATCCTTTCAATCCAACATCATGTGCATACAACAGCAACAACTTAGTGAAGCTTTCATCACAGCAGCAACAACAGCATAACTTGGTGACTTTTGAGCATAATAAGAACAAAAAGAGCCGTGGTGGTTGAAATCGATTTGAACACATTATTAAGAAAGTATGCGATTAGGTTTACAGGGAATGGGACTGGAAATTAATGTTATTTGTAAAATCTCTATAATATGAACGGAGGAGAAAAAAGTTAAAAGTATGAGGAAGAAATGAAGAAAAATAAAACTATCGCCCAATTCTGAACTCAAGACAAAGCAACCGGCAATGCTGCAAATTTTTTATTTTTTATTTATTTTATTTTCTATGTTTTTGACAAAAGAAAATAACTAAAACCAAACCACTTCAAGGAAAATAACAAGTAGCATGAGCACGAGCTAGGCCGCCTCAGAAACGGATTATCCACACGAGGGGTGGCAACTGATGCAGCTTGATCAATTTAATCAAGGCCATTGAGAGTTTTTAATTGTATTTCAGCGCCAGGAATGGGAATCAATGATATAATAGCTAATAGCATTATCCTTCGTACCCTCCAGTACATAAAGAACGAAATGGCCTATACTCCAACACATTGCCCAAAACAATAGTTGCAACTGAAAATCTAAGATGAACGCATACCAAACAATTCAACTCAAGGATTGCCTTCTGGCATCTGATCGGTAACAGAGTCGAGTGGAATAACTGGTAAAAGCTCCAAGTAGTCAAAATCATCTGTTATTCCAGCCTGCAGATAGATTCGTAAGGACAGATCTCAGTGACAAACAAAACCTATAAAAGTAGAGGCCGTGGGCACATGCTTGCTACCTAGAAGTACTAAAAGAACCACAACTCAAAACGAATATATCTAGACTGATGAGGGAGGAGGGATGACCAAATCTAAATATATTGTTCACTTTTTTGCAGGAAATTAACCCCTTGATATGTAGACATATTGCCACGAATACGTCCACAAACCTGATAAACAGGCTCTATTGACACAATCAAAGTACTCTCTTTATGTACAACTGAGACCAGAAAATTAGACAAACAAATTCCATTGGAAACTATGATTGCATGACTGTCAAATGATAGGGTTACACCAAGGACTGATTGGACCTACATAAAGGAGGAGCAAAAAGGTACAGTTTCTTCTCATTTGTGGTATTGGAGGTAATGTCAGGTTGTGGCTCACATTTTATGACGGGCACAATTGTTGGAACACCAGTAAGAAATTAAGACATACCTCCTGATACATATTTTCGAGCTGCTCTTTGGCCTGAGGGAAATTGTTTGAACACCATTGTCGCAATGTGAAAATGTTATCTGTAAAATTTTTTTTTACAATAATAGATAAGGTTTATTAAAACTCCAATTGAGTAAAACATTTCATGGAAACTGATCAAAGATAAATAATAAGAAAAAGAAAGAAAATAATGTGTAAACAGTAAAACCTGTCCATCTGTTTGCTGCCACATGAGCGACTTCAATAGCTTTCTCTGCAATTTTGGAATTAAAACTATCAATATGTCTGAAGGATGATGAAACTGAGCAAGTAATCATGCCCCTTTACAGAGTTATAAGAAGGTTTTTTGGGACAGAATACGAGAGTTTGAAGATCAAACAAAGATGGAGAGTTCTTTACTCATTGCTTCAAAGGCAGCAGGATCATTGTCTGCGTACTTCCCCATCTCCTCCTGATAAATTAGAAGTATTGGAGAGTTGATGGTCTGTTCATATTACTTAATGTAGAGTTAATGGGTCAGGATAAACCTTCAGTTCATTATGCTTCATTTCAATGGTTTTCAGGACGGCCAAAGCCTCCTCTCGTTCATCCTGTTAAAAGGTTGAGTCAGACAACAGACTCAAATCATTCAGCCCAAGAGGAATATCATCAAATTACAATAAGGAATGTAACTCAAAATACTCACAGATTCCTCACGTCCTTTCTTTAATGCACCACACTGATCAACAAGTTCTGCATACCGCTTCTTACTGCTTTGCAGATCGGAATCAAGTTTGCGGTACACATTCCTCAGCTATAAAAACAAATGTTGTCATGTTAAGAAATAGAATAGAGCCAAGTTGATGAAATTCAGTCCAACAAGTAAAAGATCAAAAACTTCACCTGATTTCCAGCACAGCTAGGAAGACTCCAAAAGTAGACCTGAAATTTCAAAATTACGAACACTATTAAGTAGCAAGACATTCATATTTTGAAATGTGAATCAGGAAATGGTTACTCACAGAAGTTCCGATCTTGTCTTTAGAGACAAGGTCATCATCGACTAAACTCTGGACAACATCTTTCACAGACTGGCTAATTACACCTTTCTTGGGGCCCAACTTCTCAAGTTCCTTTAGCTGAAATTAGTAGCACGCGTCAGCAAGTTTCCAAATCTAAGAGGACAAACAACAGCATGAAATTTCAAATAGCAAAGAATGGTAACAATTTATAACAGTACTCACTAGGAAGAAGTCTTGTGAATCATAAAATATCTGAAGAATTTTCTCGCGCTTCTCTTCCAAAGAAAGACCTCGTTTCTTAGACTGCCTCACATCAAATCAAGGTTTGCATTAAACCCCAAAAAAATGCTCAAGGAATTATATTCAATTAAATTTTCAATAAATTGCATTTAGCTAAACATTTCGTCGAGCAACTTAAGTTTGCTTGTTTTAAATAAGCATTGACGGATTTGGTTTCAGAAAAAAAAAAAAAAAAGCAGAATCACTTCTCTAAGGATTATAAGGAGCAGCTAAATATTCCCGAATAGAAGAAATTAATCGAAGAACAAAAAGCATAGTAATCATTTTATTTACATGATCTACTACAACTACAAAAAAGTAAGCAACGCATTATTTTAATTACCATCGGATGAGCCGTTTGCTTTGCTGCTGATAATTGTGTAATTCGACTCTGCTAATTTTGCTAAACACCTCTCTCTCCTCTGTGGTGAACTCTGGTGAGGGGAGGAAGCCAAAATAAATACTAAAAAATTCCCTCTGTTTTGGCGGGAAAGTCTGCTTGCCTCATATCCGTCCACCTATTATTTTTTTCATTCAAGGGTAAAAAATATTATTAGCCATGAATGCCAGTTGCAATATTTGAACTTACATAATCAATAAATAATGGAATATACGTCTTCAACTAATATGCCAATTTATCCAAGTTGCTTACTTTGTTTTTCAATTACTGAATAAAATAATATTTAATGAATAAAAAAATTGGGCCATCACCCTTCCTTTAAAGTTTAAAGTATACGTGCACGAATGAATTAGTGTTACTTTTAATTTTTTTTTAAGATTTAAATTTAAAAAATTAAAGAAGAAAATAAATCTTTTTAATCTTCATATCAACCGTTTCGATTCCCAATAAATTAATATGATAAGTTTATATTGCATCAATTATAAATATTTTATAATCCTAATAATGTGGATCAATCAGTTAAATTATAAATAAATAGTACAACATAACTAGTTGTATATGTAAATTTTTTTCTAAAATTAATTAACTTAATTAAATTTTGTTATGTGCTAATTCATGTTATTTTGGTTTTTTGATTTTCAATTGGGTCAAGTTACACCACACAGGAATTAAATTGGGGATGAGTGTAGTTAAGCATAAGGTTTTGGGTCGCGATGATGGATACGAGAATTCTAAAAGAGCTAATGTTTATTCATTGTCAATTTGAATACATTAGAGAAACCGACTCAATGGACTCGAAGTAAGATCCGCTAAAAAAATGTTCAATTGTTACTTCTTTTAATATTTGTTAGTAAGCTTAAGCAATTTAATCAAAAAAAAAAAAAAACATAATTTCTTCGATTTAAATTTGATTGTCCAAACTTGAATGATGTGGCATGATCCCAACATCAAGAGCCATCATCTTTTCATTATAAATATCAACCATATTTGATTATGAGAAGTTGGAACTTTAGGATCCCTAACAAAACTCTTTCTTTATCACACACACACACACACATACAAAGCTCTCTCACTCATATATTAAACAACACTTATAAGTCCTTTAGCTTGGACTTTCACTACTCACCTATTAGTCACTTAACTTTCACCTTGTTAGCATTGCCTGCTTGTTATCTCATGCCTCTCATTATTTACATTGTAACACTCCTAACCTAGGATCTAGATAGGTCGAAGGTATTATCGATTTTAACCTACACTCGACATGCAACGAATGTAAGCCAAGAAAGCCTCTTTCTTTATCTTTTTCTAATGTATTTACGGAAGTAGGCATTTATCCATACATAAGGTTCCTATTGAGTATGGGATACTAGGTCCACTTGTACATAATTTGGATATAAATTTTTCCTCCTTAACTTCATGTTCGATTAAACCTATTAATAATATCATTTAAACCTTCTAATAATTTAGCCATTATATTTTCTTTTAGTCTTGACTTCCATATTCCTATCCGGTTCCGTACTTTTTATCTTGAGATGCAACCATTTTCATAATCCTATAGATTATACCATCCTCGTCATATTAGTCATTTAAGCATCCATAATCTACAACTAACAAAATTAACATAATAATGACTTAACCTTCAATTAATATTTTCATTTACACCAAAAAAATATTTGTTTAATTATATATATATATCTAAAAATCAAGCTAAGCTATACATGATTTCCCACACTCATTAACCCAAAGCTAAAGCACATAAAATGGCAAGTTCATCTCTTGTCTTGGTGGCAATCCTTCACTTATTTTTATCATTTTTTACACTATAAGAAAACAATGGTGAGTAAAAGAATGCTCGATAAGTATAACTCATACAATGCATGTGATGTTCTTATGCATGAATACATATTATGCAATTGTAAAGCTTGTCAATCGAGACACCTCACTCGAGGGGTCACGATCGACATGTCGTTGCTAAAATTTATATCCTTTTTATTTTCTTAAAATTAAGTTCCTAATTTAATCTTATTTATCTTTGTATATGTCAATTTAAAATATGTAATTAATAATAAATAACCATAAGATTTTCTCATTAACATAGCGAAAATGTTATTCTAAAATTTCATCATTTATAAAACATCTCTCACCATAATTAATCATTCCTAAATAATCTTGTTCCAATATTCATACTCAAATTCCAAGTAAAATTTTTCAACATTCATAAGTTTAACATCAGTACACTTATTATTTTAAAAATAAATATTTATTTAAAGCATAACTTAATCGTTAGAAACACACAAAGGCAAGCACATAAGTCATTGGTCACCGGAAGCAAGCATCAACATCCTCATCATTTGCATCATTACCTACGCCATAGAACGGACGTGAGATGTAAATATCTCAATAAGTATAACATGCATGATTTTACATTAAAACTTTTTATACATGAATGTCTTTAAAATTCTTTTCCTCATTTGGGCCCACTAGAAGATACTAACATCGGTTAGCGGGGTCTAGCATCAATAAAAACATGCATAAAAACATTAAACTCATAATTTAACGATCAAACCTTAACTTTTAAACCTCAACATTTATGCCTCGATAGGCAACCTCAACCTTTAAACCTCAATATGCATTAAAAAAAAAAAAACCTCATTTGTTTACTTAAAATATTTTCTTTCAATCAACATGTAAAACATATGCATGCGTATGAATGTACATCAAGACCATCACATTACATTAATCACATAAAAAAAACATATAGCATTTACGTTTATGGTGTAGGTGAGTTACACTTACTTGATTTGCTTAAGACCATTGTTTATCATAACCTTTCTCCGAAAATCGATTCCTCGACTTGACTCAAATCTTGAACATACACACCATATAACATAAGAAATTAAATATTATTATTTTATCTCTAATCATTTAATTTTTATTAATTCCTATTCTTTTCTTATAATTTCTTTTAAATTAAAAATCCTAATTAAGTCATCAACTCCACTCTAATTTATTCAATTCTCTTCTAATTATATTCATATAATCTAATGTTATTAAATTTTAACTTAACCTTTTTCAATTCTTATTTAAATACACTTAATCATCAAATATTCTAATAAAAATTTAAGATTTTAATACTAAATTATAATTTTTACATAATCAATCTTAAATCATGAAATTTCAAACTCATTTCTACCTAAAATCTTATAGAAACAAATAATTAAATTAAAGATTTTTCTTACCTTCAATATTGAATCACTAAGACTTGAATCTTCTTTCAAATACCTTTGACTTCAATTCTTACTCGCTTATATTCTCTCTCTCTCTCTCTCTCTCGAAATATATGCTTGTGAAATGACTTTCATAAAAGAGGAGAAGGACACTCTATATATAGGTATAGGAAGTTGAAACATTTGAGAATTTTAAGTGCATAAATTAAACTAATAAAAGACTCCTAACTTTCTTCTTTTATGGCCACTAAGTGGCTTTCTTTCATGACCACTAACCTTCTTTTTTATAACCACTTTCTTTCATGGCCATTAACCTTCTTCTTTTATGGCTACTTTCTTTTCTTTCATGGCCATTTATGTCTCCTCTTTAATTTTAATATGTGTTTCAAAACTTTTGCTCTTCTTTCATAGCCACTAACATTCCTTTTAAAAGTTAGTAAAACTTATTATTATTTCATTATTATTTTTTAAATTATTATTACTATTTTAATCTTTTAATTCCTAATAGCTTCGGCTAAGATTGTAGAATTAATTCCTATCTATAAAAATACTATCTATAATACCCAAAAATATATATAGTATATCCTAAAACTCTATACCTAATCATCACATTATCTAAACACATAAAAATATTAAATTACATACACAAACAAAGCACATATGCATACATATATACATCATATATTATCATGTAAAATTTTTAGATATCATAGCAACTTTCATGAAATCCTTTTTATGCATTTGAAAACCATTTTCCTTTTTCTTTTCGGGTGCACTCTTTCCTTTATTATTTCTTCAGCTAGGGCCTTCACTAAATCCCCTAACCGTCGAGGCCTTTACCACATCCCTCGACGAAGAAATGCCTTTACCATATTTTTTCGGTTAGGACATTCACCAATTCCTCTAACTATTGAGACTTTTATCAAACCCTCGATAAAGAAACGAGTCAATTTCTTCAGCTGGGGCCTTCACCAAATCCTCTAATTATCAAGGCCTTTACCGGATCTCTCAACGAAGAAATGACATTATCATGAAAACCATGAAAAATCGTCAAAACCTTTTTCCATTTTTCTTTCATCAAAATCATGATATATTATAAAAATCATGAAATCCATTTCTTTTTCCTTTTATCAAAATCATGAATACAAAATCTTCTTTTATGATAATGATGTACATGAGCAAATGCATTTGAATGAAATCCATTGTAATAAACATGACTATGACATGTATACCATTTCTCCTCAAGAACATGTATAAACATTATAAATTATTCACATGTTCCAACAATCAAATATGCATGCCATATGATACATACCAAACACAATCCCTGAACATCCAGAATATCATGTCAAAACTAAGCAATCAAGTATCATAATCAATCAATTTCCATATTAACATAATCATTCCCATTCCCCTTAATCCTCTAAACCTCATATTTTTATTTACCTCTTTGTCCTTGTTTTTCATGCTTAGCCGAATTTGAGCTAAATGAAGGATAAACTTTGTTCTTTCTATCTAGTCTTAAGAATGTCTCTATAACATACTTATTAACCTTTTATAATGTAAACTACAAATTAACCCTAAATCACACCTCCAAACATAAATTCCTATGGTGTAGGTAAGGAGTTACACTTAGCTCACTTAGAATTTGGCCTTCCTTTTTTTTTTTTTCTTAGGTCCTTCTTTCTCTTTCCTTTCAAGAAAATTCAGTCAAGGTAG